TATGATGAATATATGAAGTTCATATATTTTGAACTGCGGTTATAGATACGTATGATGCACGATCCTCGCAGTAGAGAGCGCTATTTATGCAATAGCGAAAATCAGACCTGAAAAAAATCAGGCCTGTACGGGATTCGAACCACTGACCTCTGCGATACTAGTGCAGCGCTCTACCAATTGAGCTAACAAGCCAACTGGGAGCAGGCCGTTAAGTTGATTCGTAATAAACCCGTGATGATAAATCAGATATGATGAATATATGAAGTTCATATATTTTGAACTTTTATATATGAATAATTATATGAACTTCATATATTCATCATATCTGAATGGACTTTCCTTAGTCTTTTTCTCTTTTACATGAATTAGTTGGTGCCAATGTCAGACTCAGTCCATGTATTCATTACAACTACAGAGGAAGCTGGAAATTTGGCATTCATCAAAGTATTAATTTTAGGTCAGTAATTAAACTTCTTGATCACAATTTCAGATGTCTTCATTGTATATGAACTTACAATGTATTTTTTTAACACACTGTTTTTCAAAGCACTAGACTGCATATTAATAGGAAAATTTTGCTGGTCTTGAATCCTTTCAGGGATTTATGTTTTTCCTTGTTCCTTGCTAGTGACAAACTGCTCGCATCTTTTACATGCTAACATCAGTATGCACATTCTCCATACTGTTCTCTATACATTTCCTAAGGCACTGACAAGGAGAATTTGTTTAACAATCAAGAGCATCTTTAGACTGTGATCATTTCCCTTATTCTCATGGCTTTAATGAGGAACTCAGAGGTCAGATATTTTAATTAAGGAGAATTTAGATGCCAGTAAGACATTCGTAGGGGTCAAAGAGTTAAACTTACGAATTGTTTGGATGTATCCTTGTGTTCCAGTGGTGACAATAGATATGGATACTTTGGATGTTTGGAGGATGTCAAGAAAGCTGTTGCTAAATTCAAAGTTCATAAACCAGGTATGGCATTTTCAACAGAAACTGGTTTCTAAGAAGAAAAATTTCTGACAACACCTTTGATTAACATTTAAACAAGTTTAACTAGCTTCTAACCTTATCACAACCAAAGAAGTGATAAAAGAAGTGATATGGTTTTTGTCTTTAGTTCTGGTTGTTAAAGGCAAGTGGAAAAGCATAAACAAAATGTTTCCCTTTAACACAGTGGTTTCATTTGTCTTTCAATTAGTTCTTCTCAAGTTCACTTGTGAAAAACTTGCTCTCATGCATAGGCTAAAGTGCCTCTATGGCAATTTGTGGCTGGTGATGAACAAACCATAATTTTAAAGTTATGTTTCATACTCAGTATGCACAAAGCACCAGATTAGCTCGATGGATAGAGTCCTGGACTGTTGTGCGGGGATGTCGAGGGTTCTAGCCCCGGCCGGACCAACACTCAGGGTCTTAAAATAATTGAGAAGAATTTGCTACCTTTCTATAACATCAGGAAATAGGGACGAATAAATGGAGGTCCCGTCTCCTGCATGGTTGAGGTAGGATACGTCAATTTCCCACACACGAGATTACTGTGTGATGGATGTCCTCCCCTGGGGTGGGATGGGTGGGAGGG